GCGCGCAGCGGAAGCGGATGGCGAGCCGCGACGGAATGCTTTATGTAGCGAGCAAGGATTTGTTATTTTTGAACAGGATAGAAGAGCCATTGGAGCACTATTTTTTTTCTGAAAATACCCTAATATAGCGTACATAGCACAAATAGCTTCTCTCTTGAAGATGTTCTAACGCCTCCATTCATAGGTTTTTATGCTCATTGTCACATTAGAAACAAACATGGCTCCTTAAGGTAGCAATGATGACTAACATGCTTTAGGAGGAAAGCGGAAAAGGTAACTATAAATACATAAGAGAAGGCATAAGATGATCCAAATTTATAAGAGGGCTAAGAAACTAAACAATTTGTGAAAGACTTGGACATTTTGATTTTATCGTGGGATGGAGCTCACCAAGAACAAACTAAAACCTATCTTCATTTGACATTGACATAAATTGCACAAAACATAGGATATGAGTGAGGAAAAAAGGAAGGAGAGAGACGACAATACGTTTAAGCCAAGGATATGGTCGATGCTAGCAATACGAAATCTGTGCCGATGGATATAATTAGGGGCCATGGAAACAGGACAATTCTAAAGGACGTACCCAGTGCAGTGCAGAAAGCTCTCGCTCTGTGCGGGGTCTGAGGAAGGATGTTAGTGGCAAGCCTTACCCTCGCCTGTGCAATGCGAGGAGACCGCAACTCAAACCCGGGACCTTCCAGTCACAGGAGGTAAGACTCTACCTCTTGCACTAGGCCCGCTCTTCCGAAACAGGACAATTCTAATTATATAAATAAACAAACTATTCGCAAAAAGATATTTTTTCAACTAATAAAGGAATACAAATTTATGGTGACTAATACTTAGGTCGAAACCTAGTCTTGCTTATATATATAACTCAAATGAGACATTAGGAAAGGGAGAGGCGACACCGGACCAGGGCCGCCAACGGGGGTAGTGTGGGGGTATGGCCCCGGTACCCACAAGATAAGATATGGGCCGTACCACCAAATGTGGCCCAGCCCATAAGATCAAGATGTGCACCGCAAGACTACAAGAAAATATTGTAATACCAAATAGGATATTTTTTTTAACCCTACCCCTCTAGAGTATATAAGGAGATGCAAGAGTCCCCTAGACGATATATCGAATCTGATACACAATCAATACCTACTAACAGAGCATAGGATTAGGGTGTTACGTCAAGCTGACGGTCTAAACTTGTATAAATCTTGTGTCTCGATAGGATGTAGGGTGTTACGTCGAGCTGACGGTTTGAACTTATAAATCTTGTGTCTCGTGTCTCTATTAACGTTTGGTTCGTATCACGTGCACCTCTGCCGATCAATCTACCTTCGTGGGATACTCTTTGGAGAACTATCAAACATTTTTTGTCGACAGTTGGCGTGCTAGGTAGGAGTCATGTGCGCTGATCCATGATGGATCTCAAGATCAACTTGGTACGACGGCAAGCCGGCGACTCGTTGATCTCCGTTGCGGGCCGACGTGCTGGTCCGGTTGTCGTACTGAGTAACTCTCGAAGACGATCAAGGGCATGACTCGTACACGAGGTACATGCAGGTGCTACGCGGCGGCGGCGGGCATGTCGTATCCGACTACTCCACTTGCGCTGGACCCGAAAAATCTGGGATCGGCGTAGAGCTCCGAGCTCTCCGGTGGTGTCAAATCGAGTTGTTCCGTGAATCGCCAATCCGGTCACTACGATCGTTTGATCGTGTACGTGCTACTATCAGTGGTGGAGCCAGGATTTATACTCAGAGGGGCCGGTCGTCAGGAATTATATTTAGGAAGGGCCGGTTCGATCTTTTTCGTTGCGATAATTTTATTATCTAGTTGTGTTTTGTATGATTATATTATCCAGAAGATATTAATAGGTATATATGACAAGAATTTTATATAATCCCCCTCTTTGTATAAATAAAAAATATTAAGTAGGCCCCCCGTCTCCGCCAGTGGCTACGATCACGAGCTAGCAAGGAGGCCACGAAGGCATGCAGGACATGCAAGGCAAGGTTTCGGGATCGTGACATGCATGCAATGCTGGGCGATGTTTCCTCCGATCAACAAGAAGCAAATAAGGAGCCACCGTACTATCTTACAAAACCATGGAACCAAGGAAGCGTATATGTGGTATACAGGGCCATGCATCAATGAAGTGCGTATACATGTATATGTCACCGTTTCTAGCATAGCATGGATAGACCGATTCCCTTACTTATCTACGTCCTCAGAGACCCGACATCTACTCCGATCAAGACAGGGACATATGTCTGTCTAGCGATACTCCGTACAAGTCCAAGCTAGATGATCACCACACAAGCCAACGACGGCGGCGAGTACTCCGGCAGCGACAAAGGCTGCTCCTACACCATCGCCAATCGCGAGCTGCCCGAGTCGCCGACCAATATAAGGACGACGTTGTCCGGACTACTTACTCCAACCACCTGTCGCGTCGTAATGATGATCGCCGCGAAGAACGGCGCCATGACAACCGCGACCGCCGCCATGACGACAGTTTGGAAAGTTCGAGGGTTGGGCAATTTCGTCAACGCCGACCAGAAAACGCCATACGTCGCCGACCAAACGTTCTGTCCAAAGCTAAATCACGCTTTAATATTCTTCTAAATATTCTCCAATCCTCATATATCGTCATGATGTTTCTCCGAGCTATTTTCTCCATGTTTATTCGCCAAACGATTTTTTTTCATATATACCATCTTAAAGATGACATACAGCTAAGTCTAAGGCACATCCCTGAACAGTCATGTTGAGGCTCGGATGTCTCCAGAGACGGCCCTGTCTCTAGCTGCTCCCTACACGTGCACGAACGTCTGCCCTCTACGTTATGGGTGGTCGGCAGCGGCTCCTTAGCAACGCTTTGTTCTTCCTACACGCACACGGGCTCCGCACTCTGCGTCATGGTTAACGGGTTAGTTATGGCTGGAGACTCAGTTACAAACTAACTGGTCGGACGGTTTGTATTAAATATAAACATATCTCCAAAAGAACACTTAGTGTTCACACCAACTGATCGCCTAGCTGCATACGCTATTTCATCACCGTTGCTGATTCTTCTCCGGAGTTCATATATTCTATTTTTACATCATGTACTACCCATTCTACATATTTGTTTCGCAAGGGCACGGCTCAGTCAACGAGCTTACGCTCAGGGACTGGACAAGATCATCGTCTGGGTGGTCGGACCACCTATCGGACGGACTTCACCGCCAACCAACTGGTCGGACTGCTCGGCACTCCCTCCTGCTCGGCATTCACTTCGCCGCCGACCAGTTGGTTGGACTGCTCATCGCATGAGCTTCATCGTCAGCTACGCTGGAGGCTCCTCGACGTTCAGATTCTCCGTGCAAGAGCCAGGATGTCGGACCACCTGGTACTCAGACTTCTCCGCAGATCAACTGGTCAGACCGCTAGGTTTGTGGACTTCGTCGCCGACCAGTTGATCGGACTGTTCGCTGGTCACTTCTACTCAACGCTCACTTCGCCGCCGGCCAGTTGGTTGGGCTGCTCGGTGCTCGATTCTTCGCCAACCAACTAGTCGGATTGTCCGTCACTTCATCGTCAGTTGCGCTGGGGGCTTACCAGCTAAGCTGGGGACTCTTCGGTGTTCAGATTCTTCGTGCAAGCGTCGCCAGCTAAGCTGGGGACTCCCTCGGTGGTCGGATCTTGCTACGTCACATCGGTGTGCTATCAAGTTGCTCTATGCTGTTCGGATCAGGGTGCTGATCTTGGGCAGCACGTCTGGGGTCTTGATACGCGCATGTCAGATTACGTCGGCAAGCTTTTATACTTCTTTTCTTTGACCCTACTACAAGATTCATTCTTCATCTTCCAGCAGGCTCGGGGACTAAGTGGCTACACTTCACTTAGCGGTGAATGTAGTAATTATTTCTTAATTTATGCTCCTTATTGACGGAGTCTAAGTAGCTACACTTATCCTAAGTGAAAGAATTTTTAAATTTCATCTTGAGCCCCTTACATCCTTCTGGCAAGCCTTACTTGGCTAAGTTCGAGGTCTCCTATCCGGTTAAACTGATCGGCATTGACTTTCACCGTCCAGGTCACCAATTAAACTGGTCGGCATTGACTTTCACCGCCCAGGTCACCAGTTAAACTGGTCGGCATTGATTTTTACCTTCCAGGTCACCAGTTAAACTGGTCGGCTTCGACTTCCACTGCTCGGATCACCAGTTAAACTGGTCGGCTTCACATCAAACTGCTCGAACTTGTTCAAGACAGTGCTGCTCAAAGGATACAAGGCGCTCGGGACTAGCTGTGGGGGTATAGCCCCCGTACCTACAAGATAAGACATGAACCGTACCATCAAATATGTCCCAGCCTATAACATCAAGACGTGCACTGCAAGACTACAAGAAGATATTGTAATACCAAATATGATATTTTCCTTATAACCCTACCCATCCAGAGTATATAAAGAGAGACAGGGGTCCCTTAGACGATATATCGAATCTGATACACAATCAATACCTAATAACAGAGCACAGGACGTAGGATGTTACGTCAAGCTGACGGCCTGAACCTGTATAAATCTTGTGTATCTGTTAACGTCTGGTTCGTATCACGCGCATCTCTGCCGATCGATCTACCTTCGTGGGATACCCCTCGGAGGACTACCGAGCCGACAGATAGCATGCTAAGACGCAAGCCATGAGGACCATTTCCTGTTTCACGGCTCGAACAACAGATATAGGCTAGTCATAACGCAATTCAATTCAAAGCAGTTCACTGGTCAGAAGTTTAGCTTCAAAGCAAATACTGTAACAGCTGAAGATAGCCTGCCAAATGAGCACAACAACAACAAAAAAGGACATTTCCTCACTTTCATTTTCTAGAGCAGGCAGCAAATTTCTGTTGCCTCTACATCTTGGTACATGCTTCCAAGCAAAGATTACCATAACTATATAGGTTGCCCAGGCAATCAAGAACTTGATACTCTGCAATCTGCAACACTAGCTATTCTATGAAACATCACGCTCGTCCAGGTACCTCTGCACACAGCTCCAAAAAGAGGAAAAGGGATGATTACAGCATCCTCTCACATTACTCATTCAGGAAATTAGAGCTTGCACGGCATGTATAAGCTTGCGACCACACAGATACATGTCATGGGAACTTTGGCCTAATGTAACCACGGTACAAATGAAAACACACCGCCAAACAGATCACTGATAAAAGCACAGGTATCTCTGAATCAAGTAAGCGCATGTGAGATGCATTTTGCAATATTACGGTTTGGAGGCTACCGGATATTGACGGATTACAGAATGTGCACCGACTCAAATCAAACGAGATATCTTCAGGCCTGCTTTGAGAGTATAAAGACCTGATGGTGCCCGATCCGAACTTCATGGAAGCACCCAAGATGGCGAAGGACCTGGAAGAAAGTCAACGTAACCAACTTGCATTGCTAAGAAAACGAGTATGCCACGACCAGCAAGTTCAATTCCAACGCCTATCAAACATATTTACATCTTTTTGAGATGACAAACTTTGTCGAGGGTATTGCAAGATAATTGCCCTAACCAGTGCATCTATAGCCTACTGTTCTGAAGGGTTGCAGACTGGAATGCAGGGTATCCATGGTTTGTAGCATAAGGTATAAAAGCCATAACAAAACTGCATGTTTGTAATTGTGTATTTGTTCATCTAACACTTAATGTAAGGTTATAGTATCTTTTTCTCTTCTCTCTTCTTCAGTGGTGGTTCAAGTTTGACAACACACATTTAGATTACTTTGATTATACATCCAGAAGGACAAAATAAACAACAGATTTTCCCAAATAACAGCTGCATAAAGGCCAAACATTGTATCTAGCATTAATTATCTTCAGTGATGTAAATGGTTATTTAAAAAATAAGTGACATGATCTACACATCGTTGCAGTGAGTAGCCAAAGTTGTATATACTTACAGTAAGAATAGCTTTGCCAGTATTGTCAAGTTTTAGACCAGGTCCTTTTATATCTGCTTCCAGGAAGAAATGGTTGCCCTTTACTGCTTCTTTTGCTGCAATGTCCCTTAGTTCCTGAATAAAATATACAAATAAATTTATTTTTCCAAATAAAAGAAGAAAATATATCTGATTGACTACCATAGAGAGGAATGAGAAGATGGCAAGGAAGAGAAATCTGGAATGTAACCATTGTTTTTGAGGCGTCGCCTAGGCGACAAGGCGTGCCCAGGGTGCTGGGCGTCGGGGTCGCCACGGCATGCGTGCGTATGGCGTCCGCCATATGAGATTAGGCGTTGATTAGGCGTGGAAAGGCGTCGGGCGAGCGCCTAGAGGCCTGTGGCGGACACTGGAGCAGCAAGTCGAGAGGAAGACGGAATCGGGCGGGGAATTGAGCGGACGCAATGAAAACTGGCGGGAATCGACAGCGTCGCATCCGCGCTAGAAGGAAAAGGGCAGGAATCGACCGCATATATGTTGTTGCGCGGCAAACCTCCCGCTCGAGGGCTTTTACCACAGGTGCGGGCCGCTGCAGCTTCACGGAGAGAGGAGAGGAAAAGAGGCGGCGGCGGCGGCGGCGGCGGCCCTGCTTCTTGGCGGCAAAGGCGGAGGCAGAGGCTTGCCGCTCCTTGCTCGAGTCCACCGGCCGCGCGCACCTCCCGCGAGTCCGCCCCTGCATCTCCTCTTGGCTGCTCGAGTCCACCAGGGGTCCGTCCGCACCGCACCTGCAGCTCCTGCCCGTCCGCACCTGCTCGCCCGCCTCCGTCGACCGTCTACCTGTCTGCCTCGTATGCTCCCTGCCTCCTCTCTGGTCTCCTCTGCAGCCCTGCTTCCCTCCTCTTCCTCTGCTTCCCTCCTCTTCCTCTGTTTCTGTCTCTTCCTCTGTTTCTTTCCCTCTTCCTCTGTTTCTTTCCTCTGTTTCTTTCCCTGCAGCACTAGTCATTAAGTTATGTTATGTTATTAGAGACTAATTTGTGGCTATTGAGTGATGAGAGATTTCAGATTTGCTATTTTGCTACTTTACGTTGTGCACTAGCACTCTGGTAGCATTATTTATTATGGTATTACATGCTAAGACTTGGCAATATTAAGGTATGATTTGCTTCTGAATTTTAGTATCATTATATATTAAGATGATCGTATGGCGTCACCTAGGCGTCCGCCATAAACGCCTAGGCGTTGTGAAGGGGGTACGGCGCCGCGCGGCGCCGCAGCGCCTCAAAAACAATGAATGTAACAATTCTCATAGCAACTTATTTTCTATGCTTCCCATTGAAGAAGCTACTTTACTTCTTTAACTAGTGATATGGGTGTTATAACTGATCATGACTTTGGATTTTGGAACGTTTGATGTGTTAAAAGGTTTGGAGTTGGCTAGGTATAACCTTCATATTAAACAAAAAGAAATTACACATAAGTCTCATACTGAATCAGTTGAGAGTAATATGGAAATGCAATCTCCTCCTCCAGTTGAGTGAATCCAGGTTCCAAGATGAGCCCTCTGAACAGAGGACTTTATCCTGGTGGAATCCGAAAAGAAAAGAATAGAAAATAAGAAAAAGGTTAAAATATCTGCCAATATAAAAGGGAAAAGCCAAGACCAGGAAAATCTTGCCTTTTGCAAGAAAAGGGATAGAGGGTATAATAAAACCACTGCCTCTAAAAACACAAATATAAATAAAAAAGGAAAAACTCTACATAACCCCCTCCGCTTTGGTACTATGGCTACTCCACCCCCTGAACTTCGAAACACCGTCTAACGAGCACTCTAAAGTTTTTCAAACTGTTTAATGAACCCCCTACAGTGGTTTTGGCACCCGGTTCTGCTTACGTGGCGCTCCAACCTGGAACCAAATGGCACGTGGTTTTGGCACCCGGTTTTGCCTACGTGGTGCTCCAACCTGGAACCAAATGACACGCTGGCGGCCGAACCCTCCTGTCAGACCCATTTGGCCCCCAAAAACTAAACCGTTCCTCTTCCTCTATCCCTCTCCGCCCGTCTCTCTCTCTCTCTCTCTCTCTCTCTCGTTCCCTTCATAGCCCGCGTGCGCCTTCTCTCCGGCAACACGGACTACGAGGCCATGATCAGGAGGAAGTAGTCCTGAGAAGATTGAAGATTTTTGCAGCAGGTCAAGGTGAGTCCACCTGTGTTCCTTGTCCCCTTGATTTCCCCAATTTTGTATGCGGATTTGATGGGTACTGTGGGTTAATGGGATTTTGTGTAGCACTTGAATCGTTGTTGTAGTCATGTATTGGCTGATTTCTAGATGCATACTTGTGTTTTTTGTGTAGTATGGTCCGTCGGATTACAGGCATGAACGTTGTTAGGGTTTATGCAGTATGATGGACTAATGCATAGGGTTCTGTTATGATCTAGCAGTAGTTCAAGATTGTGTTTTTAGGGTAGCTAGTAATAAATCATACTGAGGTTAGCATATAGGAGAATGACGTTTGTTCTTTACAACTGATGGAGATGTCCTTTATGTGCTAGGATGGATAATTTCGTAATCTTGCGGTTCAGTTCCACTTTGGTGGGTCTTTTGTGAACATTGATGGACAGATCATTTATGTTGGGGGAGAGAATGCTATGAGTTACATTGACTCGGACAAGATTTCGCTTCCTGAGATCAAGGGTCTCCTAGAAGATCACTTCAAAATTGACAATGTAGCACGCATGCATTGGCTGAAATCAGGGAGGGAGCTGTCCAATGGGCTACTGCTACTTGTTGATGATGGTTCATGTAAACTCATGGCAGATCAAACAACAGATGGTGAAATTGCAGACATATATGTGGAGGAATTAGCAGCTCAGGAAATTAAGGTTGACAAGATACCTCAGTGGACCAATGATGAAGCAGAGCAAGTGTTTGATGACAAGGAAGAGGAGATTGGTGGTGCTGAGGAAGAATGGATCTATATTTCTCCTCAGAGAAATTGCAGAATGAGAATGAAGAAGAAGGTGGCAACGAGGAAGAAGATTGTGACACTGCTGAAGAACAAGAGGGTGGTTCTGAGGAAGAAGATTGTGACACTGATGATGAACAACAGGGTGGCAATGAGGAAGAAGATTGTGACAGTGCTGATGAACAGGGTGGCAATCAGATGACACTTCAGAGTACAAGCAACCTACAGATGAGGACAGTTCTGCAGAGGATGAAGTAATAGAATTGAGGAGGTTTGCCAAGGAAATTAAGAGGAACATCAAAGCTAAGAAGTTTGGTCTGCATGGTAGTCAGCTTAGAGAAATCAAAGAGAAAGCTTTGGTGGTCGCAGAAGTTCCCAACTTAGAAAACCCAGGAAGTCCAATATGTGATTCAAGTGATGAGTACTCATATGAGGAGAACAGTGAAGGAGAAACAGAGAGGTGGAAGAGTCAGTAGAACAGGTACGACAGCAAAGCACCAATTCATGTTTTTGCTCTTGGGATGGCGTTCAGGTGCAGCAGGCAGTATAAGAAAGCCCTGATCAAGTATGGACTCAAGACACATAGGCATCTCAATTTCATCAAGGATGAGAAGACTAGGGTCAGAGCTATTTGTACTTGGACTAGTTGCAATTGGCTCATATATGGATCAAAGACTAGCAGATCAGAGTGGTTCAAGGTTGTCAGATTTGATGATGTCCACACCTGCCCACCTAGGAGGGATAACAAACTGGTGACTTCCACAAGGATAGCCAAGCACTACTACAATCAGATAAGGGATAACCCAACTTGGAAGGTGGACCTCATCAAGCAAGCTGTGCTGAAAGACTTCCTTGATGATGTGTCCTTATCCAAGTACGAGAGGGCCAAGTCTTTAGTACTTAATGCTGCTTTGGATTCTATGAAGGGAGAATACACAAGAGCCTATGACTACAAAGCTGAGTTACTGAGGAGCAACCCAGGTTCAACAGTTGTAGTATGCCTTAATGCAGAATTTGAAGACAGGAAAGTATTTGAGAGATTTTATTGCTGCTTTGATGCTTGGTTGGGTAATCAGCTGTCTAGCAGTAAAGAGAAGAAGTAAAGACTAGCAGTAAAGAGGGGGAGTAAATAGGTGACAGCCAGGGGAGGTTCCTAGGCATCAGCCAGCTAGTAACAAAGGAAGCAGTAAACATGCTAACACTGTAGATTACGTCAAAGCTCCTAGCCAAGCAACGGACACTGAGCATCAGGATGGGGAAGATCAGACCTGGCATCCAAGAGAGAAGGTAATATCCAGCAAGGCAGGATGGCAGTTGTGGTGATCTGTATGGATAGTTTTTTGGATGTGTGGAGCTCAAACTGTATGGTGTGTAGCACTAGGCCATTGGTTAGTCACATGTTCGTTTGCTGCTTTTGGTTATATGATCTGAATCAGATTGTCATAACTAAAAAGCAGGTAATTTGCTTCTGGCATTTTCTTTTTTCTGCCTGAACTCATCTCAAACTGTGCCTCGGTTATATGCCTCAGTCATCTCAAACTGGCATTTTCCATTATATGCTTAATGGAAATGGAGAATGCCTCGGTTCAAAAAAAAAAAATATGCCAAGAGCTTACCAAAGCTTTATCCCATGTATCTTCTGACAACTGCAAGAACATTGACAGCACACTCAACAGGCAATCATATAATAGAAACAGTTGTTCACTGTCAAAAGAGGAATTGAATGAAACAAACCTTTTCTTAGGGCATGTAACAAGATGAGCATTGGCCTCTGCATATGAAGCCACTTCATTTATTGCGATATTAACCTTTTCCAAAGTCAGTCTTCCCTCATGTACCTGCGTGACAACAGAATACATAATTCACATCCAGTCACAATAACATATGGTTGAATTTGAATGCAAAGAAAAGACAAGGTAGATTGAGAACTAACGATGAGAGAGAATCAAGCTCCTCGGATGAGATATACCAACGAGGTGCAGGTGCTCTTCCTTCTTCTCAGCAATACAAGAAAGCACAAGTTCAGGCAACAACTACAACTCTTATGAAAAAGAAATCCAGCTAGAATCAATGAATAGTCCACAAGATATGTAACTTTACCCTAGGAGCTGCAACTGGCTCATCCTTAATCTTCACATCACATTCATTAGCTTCAGTAAAAGAAGAGTCAAAACGAGGCAGCATCCTGGAATACAAACAGCATGCTGTTACTGCTAAATGAAGGCAGAAACAAAAGATTTAATTGTATTTAGAAAATACCTTGATGAGCTCTGTTCAAGCTGAGTAGCAAAAGCATCCTTGTGCATTCCAGAAGCTAAGTTCGCAAACATGTGCTGCAGCTTCTCTTCCTCCTTCAAGGACCGCTGGATTAGCTTCTGCATATGGATGCAATAAAGTAGCAAGTAAGAAAATAACCCATCTACTGCCAAGAGATTGAATAGAATTGATATATCCATTTTTCCTCAAACAATTTTCCAAGCAAACAAAACGTAACACCACTGGTGTTTACGCACATAGTTTAATATTGCTTAAGCACAGCATTCAGGTTACTAAGCATCGGGGGAAAATTTTCCCATCAGATGGCAAAGCCAAGGTAGAGTTTTACTTTATGGAACAAACCTTCACTGAGTAAAAACAAAAAAAGGAATGCTAAGAGAATGATCAAGGATAATAATAACAATTATGAACAATGAAAGTTTGTGACGAAGAATAGGTTCTAATTGGGTTTCTTTCTAGAGAAAATGCAGAGATATTAGAGCAACCAGTACACGTGAAAAGGAAAATTGCGCGAAATTGTTTAAGCATTTCAAATTTAATGCCAAATGAACTTATAAATTTAGTTCATGTCAACTATAACAGTAAAACCAAGAACAAGGGACAAACATCCAAGTGTATGAATTATAGTTCACTAGTCTTTTTTCGAAGATGTTCAATTGAAGTTTTGTTTGAGCTCAACTAGTATTCATCTTGTAACAATCAAATATAGGAAAGCGAAAGATAAGAGAAGAACAAAAATAAATAAAATCCCCATGTTATCTACTCCCACCCCAGCCACCTTATCAATCCACTCCTTAGAGCCTCCGTCCAGCTCCCTCCTCCAATGGCAGCAGCTGCTGTGCCACCCCTTCCGCTCCTCCCTCCCTATGTTGCCCCCTTGTTGTTCCTCTCCCTCCTCTAGCAAGATACAGTCCTTCCCTGTTACTCCTCCAGTGCGCCACTCCTCCCCAGGGGTGGAGCCAGAATTTGAACATGGGGGGAGGGGGGGCGCTCAAACCAACAACAATCATGCATGTCGAAATACATACACGACAAAGGTATACATAACAGTGAGGACATAGGTCAGGACAAACTAGCAGCTGTCCAGAAGCATTCAAATCTGTTTTTACTAGTAGCTGGGACAGCAGCAGTCACTTATGAGATACCTCTAGGCTCTAGCTTGAGTGTTAGTGATGGTATGCCTTCGATTGAAATGCAGCTGTTATTGCACATGTTTTAATACATACTTGATTTAAATGTAGTAATTGACACGCAAAACTTGTGGCTTACAAGTTATGGCAGGAATGAAAATTAAGGCCATAATAGCTAGGGTCACGTTGAACACCAGCACGCCTAGTCCTTTTGTGCAACTAAGTTTAGTTTACTTTGGTAAACAGATACGCTGTAGTGATTGGCTAAGGTTAAAGTTGTACTTAAATAACTTGGCGTTCTGATCCACAATTTTATCAAAAGGGAAATTGGGTTATATGATGTGTATCTTCCTTTTCTTGTTTTTTATCATGCATTGTATCGCTGCATATCATCAAGGTACACTAGCAAGTGAACACGAGCAAGTGAAGGAGAAGGACGCAGGGGTCGAGCTAGAAGATGCAATGGCTGGTGAACAGGTCCTGAAGACGGATGGCACATCGGCTATGTCCTGAAGTTTGAGGAGAGCTAACATAGTATAAAGCATGGCCTAGGCAAGCCCCGGTGCATATCCTTTGTTTTACTCGATGTTACATTTATATGTGCATTAGGTTATGCAGGCGCTGACTAAAATCCAGTTGCATAAAGATCTGATTCCCTGAGTCCCAACTAGCATGATAGGCTCGTGTAGTTGCTTTGCTAGGAGTGATGTTTCCATCGCTCTCGAGTGTAGGGTTACTTATATTCATTTATTATCACTGGAAACATGATGTGGATGATGAACCTGAGACCGTGCAGGAAATGACTTGTGGATATTGGTAGGGCAGCAGAGCCGGTAATAGTCACGTCCGTATCGTTTAAGGACCGTTCCATTGTTAGTGCTATTGGACAAGTTCGAAAGTTCCACTCACGTATCGGTTCCCGAGCATGGTTGAACCTGGAAGCTTATGTACTGCCTCACCCTAAGGGCACCACTACGCGGTTTGTTGAACTGTTTCCTTGGCTCCTGGGGTAGGAGTCAGACATGGATAATTGCAGCAATAATCACAGTTGAGTAACCGTCTGGGACGTGGCCTGTGGAGTCAGCGAATGTGGGAAAGGTTGATGTGTGCGATCCCTTTGGGGTGATGCATCGTGTGTCTGGGTTTACCCAGCTAGATGTAAATTGATTCGAATCGCCACACGTATCTCTCGGATATGAGTACCTTGCTCCTTATGCTAACATCGTAGTTAATGCAAGTGAAACATGGTATGATTATGAGGAGGGCAACATGATTATTGTTGATTGTGATATTGACAGCATGCGTGAAACTGGTAGGGCCAGCATCCGTAGGAACATAAGGACTCAGTTAAAAGGAGCACCGTCTATACCTTGGCCTTGGGGATGGCGTCAAGCTCCTCCTGAAGGCGGCGGCGGATGGTTTCCACTTGCGACTCCATCGCAGTCACCAATGCGTCCACGTTGGCGAGTTCGGGCAGCGCCGTGGCCGGGAACACTGAAAAAAGTGTGGAAAATGGGGAACGGGTCAGTAGCCACCTAGGGTTTAGGTGAGCGGCGGATAAACGGAGGAGAAGCGTACTGCTGCGGGCGAGGACGAGGTCCTGCAGCTCCATGACTTGGGACTTGAAGGCGGCGGCCGCGGCGTCCAGTGGCGGGGTGGCACGGCTATCGTCGTCGGCGTCCATGGAAAGTACGGGAGGCGGGACACTGATCCTGACCTCGGGGATCGATTTGGACCCGCTCCCTACAACTGCGTGTTGGCGGCAGTGCAGGAGGAAGGGGCGAGTGGCGGCGGTGCGTCCGTGCGGGAGCGGGAGCGGGACTGCGGGAGGAAGGTGCGAGTGGCGACCGTGCGGTCACTCCGAAAAGCGAAAGTGCGGACGCCCGATTTTTTTATTTTTTTTAGCCTTTTTTTAAAAAAAATCATAAATATGTCTATGGAGGTAAGATTTCAAAATCTGAACCCTTAGCTCTTGGGCTCAGCGTAAATGTAACGGTGATATGGCAGGCAGCTCGGTACCGTAGATCTTGGCACGGAGCTCGGTGCCGCCAAGATCTATAGCGCTGTTTACACCAAAATTTAAACGAATAACGTGGAAATTCGAAGGCTTCCAAGATTATGCCAATCAAGAAATCGATTGCATAAGGATTGATATCAGCTGATTCAGATATGATTCTGGAATCGGCTTTTTTGAATGACGTCGGCAAGTATTGATAATGGGCTACGGTTGCCGTTGGGCGATGCATATCGGATTCTAAAAAAGAAAAAGATTAAGGTCCAAGTTATCTTAAGATTAGTAATGTTCTCTTTTATACCAAAAATTGTAATGAGTCGTACTCAAATAGAATTCATGTTTAGACTCCGGGTATAAATATTAGATCCTGGCTATTGTAAATGACACGATCAATCAAATACAAGTTACTTATTTTTTTCAGCTCTGGTCACCCCTTAGGAGTAGGAGTAGAGTAGATCTCAACAAGTTCTTCAACAAGCAAGGCTATATCGGTCCGGCCGACCTCCAACTTGTCTGTAAGTACTGTTATGGCTTATACTTCTGTTCGTACGGCTGCATCGATCCGATCAACCTCCACTATGACTCTGGTATAAGCTAGTTATCGACTCTTGTCTAGTTCAACTAAGATTGCATCGATCCGGTCGACCTCCACTGCTCGAACTAGATTAAGGTCAAGTTATCAGCTCTATCTAAGGGTGACGTCCTTCGGATAGATTCATTAAGTTATCGATGTTGCTTATTGCTTTCATTATTTATTTAATTACAATAATATCACTTCGTCCAATTAATATTGATCTAGATCAGCCTTATATCCTATTTAATCCATCGTTTATTAATTTAAACTGATCTAATCTGCACCTTAAACGATGAGTTATGTTTTATCAGCTGTTTTATGTCAACCTTGATCGTGCATAATGTGCGGTTAAGACATGTCTGGTCTTCAATAGATCTATTGGTTAACGAAAACCGTTCCATGGCCCGTTATCATGGCCTGTATGATTCTGCCTCACACCCCACTGTTAGCACCGCGGAGTGGGGATCGTTATTTGGTAGATTTATCCTTGATAGGGCATGACCTTAATTGTGTGCTATGCCTAAATCGGCTGTTTTAGTCGATATCGAGTGTTTTCACATATGCAGTTCACGTCACGAGACCGTTGAAGTAAAGATAGGTTAAAAGATGTGTTAGCCTCATGATATTATTACTGTATTACGGCCTACATGATTCTGCCTCATGCCCCACTGGTCATAGCGATAGATGAGATCTAATATGTTCATAAATTTATCTCTATTAAATGATTAAATGATGATGTACTAAATTTTCATATAAAAAGGATTCGGTTATTTACAGTCATTGGCTTAGCATAAACTGATAAGTGTTGACATGCTATTGCCATTGACTAATATTTATCTAAATAACGATATTCATCATGAATGAACCGATTTTTTCTTCTATCACTCCATGAGCTTTAATTGATTTATTCTTATGAGTACGTTGGAATCGGCTATTTAGTCGATCTCCTTCCACATCGGCTCTCAAAGCCACACATTTGGGACTGTCTAACAACACCAGCATGTTTCGTCTTAAATTACTGATTAGCTTTCTCTCCTTATCAATTGTACGGTCAAATTGACTGACACGTCTCGGGAGGAGTGCGCAGGATCGATAATCCCTGCGTTGAAGCTAGGCGGATCTCTAGCTCTATCGAGCGGACCCTTCCGGTTTGCTCGTGTGCCTCAGCACGGGACGAAATTTCATACCGACAGGCCCGCGAGCTCGGCGCCGTGCTTACTAGCGTCCAGCCTGTCTTACGTATGAGCTCTCATTTTTTTCTCTCTCTTGCTCTTCCTCTCCCTCTCGCACCGACAGCGCCCCCCCCTCCCCCGACCAAGGGAACCGCCGCCAGCGCCCTCGACCTCTCCCACGCCCGCGCGCCCTCGCCCTCGCCCACACCTGGCCGCCCTTCCCTGCGCCCTTCCTTGCGCCCACGCCCTCGCCGCGCCGCCCACGCTCGCCCGCCGTGCCGTGCTGTGCCGCCCGCGCCCGCCTTGCCGCGCGGCGCCGGCACCGTGTCCGCCTTGCCATGACCATGTTGTGGCCACGTTGCGCTGTGCCGCCCGCGCTCGCCGTGTCGTGCCGCCCGCGTCCGGCCTCGCCCGCCGTGCCAGCCACGCCCGCCATGCTGGGCTCCCGTCGTGCCGGCCTCGCCGCGTGGAGCGCCGGCTATCCCGCGCCCGCCACGCGCCACCGAGGGCCCCCGCCTCTGCAGCGCCTGGCCGTGCCACCGCTGGCCCGGCTCGTCGACCTCACCCATGCGCCGGCGTCCGCTGCGACTCTGTCGATGTCTGCAACTCCGTCATCGGACAGGTTAAAATTGTGAATATGTAATGTACGTACTTAGTTAGCTTTGATTGTAGTGTAGTAGTTTTGGCATTTGTTATTTACTAGTTAATGTGATGACTCAGGTAGTTGATTTAGTTAGTGATCTAGTGAGATAGATATGTAGATAGATAGAAACATACATACATAGGTACATACATATAATTAGATAGCTACTTACATAGGTACATGCATTTAGTTGTGTTAATTACTTGTACATTTCTAAGTTCATGTTTCATTGTATATTGAATTTCTAATTCATTGACTTTTTTTGTAGGATGGCGCAATTCCACCTGCTCGACCCGACATATGAGGCGACCCACCAAGGACGTCTCATAGCGGAGGGGCAGGTAATAATCTATACGTTTTGTTTATATTTTTGTGAGCGTACATGTGTTCGTGAAATAACATGAGACTATGTTTTATTCCATGCAGGACCTTCTGCTCCTTCGTCCTAGAACCCACAATGGGTTCTTGGACATGCAGTACGACGACAGGTACACACCCTTCCTGCAACGAGCTAGCCTGAATGTCATCTATTTTCAGGTTCGTCGTGGGTTGCCCAAGTTCAATTCAGCGGCCATAACTGCGTTGGTTGACAGGTATTATCTTCAACCATTGCTGACATGGCACGTTGAGAGGCACATGGATCGCTGACATGGCACATTGAGAGGCTTTCATTCCTCCTCTCAACCTATAAATAACCCCTCACTCCCTCTCATTCACACACACATCAAAGAAGAAGAGCAATCCTTAGTTTTTTCTTTCGTTGCGGTATAAATGTCTGGAGGGTCGTCCAGAGGGAGAGGAAAGGAGAAGGGAACTATCATTGTGTGGGAGGATTATCTTGATCCCGATTTCTTTGAGGAAGCTCTTTATGAGAGGTTCCCAGTTGAGAGCAAAAGTGATTTCACCAAAGAGTCGCCACTGAGAGGATACGATGAACGGAAAGAAGAGTGGCCAAAATACATGCTTGGTGAGGACTGCCTAGTGCAGATGTTCGCCAAGGGAATATATGGAGGTCGTCGTTTCTTCAAATGCCCGCGAGCATGGGTAATTGCTATTACTATTTGTTTCTTCACGTCCCCGTGTCCGTGCCGCGCCCATGCCATGCCGCCCACGCCCGCCCGCCGTGCCGTGCCGCCCACGCCCGTACGCGGTGCCGTGTCGCCCACGCCCGGCCTCGCCCGACGTGCCACCCGCGCCCGCGGTCGCCTTGCCCGCGCCGCGCCGGCGCCATGCCCGTGCCATGGCCGCGCCACGCCCGCGCCCGCCGTGCCGGCCTCGCCGCGCGGAGCGTCGGGCATCATCCTACGGTTGTATAATACAAATATTAAAAATTGCATGAAACCGTAAGTCATGACGATTCTTAGGTTAAAAAATCCGACTAATATATACCGAATCGATGCGAAAAAAACTAGGATGGGAGCGATGATACCTTGCTCTCGAAGAACTACGGATCAAATCAAAGTTTCCAAGGTCTAATATGCCGATTCGTGAGGTAGGACGAAGTGGGGAGGGAAAAATGCTGAGAGGGAGGAGAAAGAAGAGGAAGAAGGCTCGGGCAAGAAGGTTGGGGCCGGGGTTAAAACACCACCTCGACGCCATAGATCATGGCGCCAAGCTCGACGCCAAGATCTACGGCGCCGAGCTCGACGCCAGGATCTACGGTGCCGAGCTGCCTGCCATGTCACTGCCACGTCTACGTCGAGTCCAAGAGCTCGGCGCTAGCAACGATGGCACCGAAACGTGTAAACTCGGCGCCAGCAACGATGGCGCCGAGATAAGGGTCCAGATTTTGAAATCTTACCTCCAGGGGCATATTTGTAAAAAAATTTCAAAAAAAAAAGCTAAAAAATAAAAAATTCGGTGCGGACGCGAGCGGGCGGCTTGGATTTTGGGGCTTTGGGTTGGACAAGATGGGGGGGGGTCGATTTGGGCCCACGCTCTGCAACACTTGTTTTTGAGCGAGCTCGGTATGGTATAACCCCAAATTACATATAAAATTTTTGTAATATAATAAATAATATATAATAGTCTATTTAGATTCTCCCATCGTTTTTTTCCTAGTGGCTTTTTTCGATGTAGCTAATGTTATAGATGAACACAACCTCGTTGAACACCGAAGCCAGGGAGCAGTCCTTATGCCGGATCCAACGATAAACCTCAAAAAAATTAATATGCCGTAAGATCCAATGATCTGGAACCAGTCCAAACGTATCTAAATCGATAAAAGAATATCGACAGTTGCATCGTTGGGTACAGCATAGGATGCATATTCATTACCTCCCATTCTTAATTTCCGCTCCACAACCATCAACAACAAGATTGATGACCCGGAGTAATCGTCCTTGTTGGGAGTGTTCAGGAGCACCTCTCCCCTTACAGATACAGTAATAGCCACAAATTGCCCGCATGCCGATGAAATCGGCACCTGTAGCGATGATCTTGTCGTGGCAATCAGCGAAGTCATCGTAGGTAACAAGACCCTGACTGAAAATCATCTGATTTCTCCGGTAAGTTTATTTAGGCTAAACCCTAAACAAACTGGATATAAAAACTATAGAAAAGAAAGATGGGTCCCCTCTCCTTCCTATCCTCAGCAGACGCACCGGAGAGAAAGAAGAATAAGGGCCCTAGGTGGAGGCACGACGGCAGGGGACCTAGGAGCAAGGTCGGCAGCGACGTTTTCCTTGGGCCCTAGGTGGAGGCGTAATCAGTACTCCCTTTATTCTAAATTATAAGTCATTTTGACTTATTTGGTACACCAAATTATCGATGTACAAAAAAAAATCAAAGCGGTTTGTAATTTAGAAGGAATGGAGTGTATTCTAACTCCAAAGATACTATAGTAGTATACAGTAGTTGAGATTCTTCTACCGAAATTTATTTTTACATCAACAAAAAAAATGTCCCTCGATTTTGAGGCCCAGGAACACCTTTTCGTCCCAGTTGCCAGAGCATTGTTTAAAGAAGAATATTTGAAGCTGCACCTCATATACTGCAAACACACACATTTTAGCAACATATATACAAAAAGGCACTCGCTGTCACCTGTAGCCTGTAGGTACAATAAAATAATGCAGGCATAACAGAAAATGCCTCATTTATTGGTGCTCTCCAAAAACTACGAACTAAATTCCCTCTCTGCAACTACTGTGGGACTTCAGGAAGCCAGTGTGGTCCGGGGGCAATTGTCGATAGAGCAAGCGAGGATGTCCCGGTGATCGCGTGAGATGGTGAAATGTTCATACACGTTGCCGTCGCGGCTCTTCTTGTACTCGAACAGCAGGGAGGAGTGGTTGAGGGCCGTGAGCTTGACGAACCCGTGGTCGAAGTCGGTGAAGTGGCTCCATTGGATCTTCGAGGTGGTGAACTCAGAATCGAAAATGCTGGCTCCTGCGCCGCCGCCGCCGACGTGCGTCGTCGCCTGGAACGGGGCGCTGTAGTGGTCGGATCCGTCGACGACGCACTGAGACTGCGAAAATTGGAAGATCATAGTCAGGTGTGTCGTCAGAGGACATGTATTAAGTCTCAGACGGCACTACGGCAGGTAGTGGTGGATTTGACTGTAAATGAAAACGGAAGGCACACACACCTGATAGACGGGGCATGTCCTTTCGTAACTGTGGACGTGGCCATAGAAGGCGAGGTCGACCTTGTACTTCTGCCAGAGCTCCTGCAGCGCTTCCCGCCCCATGGGCTCCTCGAACGTGCCCTCCGATTCGTAGTAGGTGCAGGACGAGTAGCCGAGAACACGGTGCGCGAGGAAGATGAGCCACGGCTGCTTCTGCCTGTCTACCGACGACAGGCATTGCTCGATGAATCGGTACTGCTCGGTCCCCGGCCTCCAGTCCTCTTCGGTGTTTGCAATGCAGAACCTGAACATGCCGTAGTCTGTCGCGTACCTGATGAAGGGATTAAGAGATGTTCAGACTATGGCCGCCTTACTGACTGAGCCACTGTGGTTATTACCAGAATTTCGCACGGTTCTCAGCTGGAGTGTAGAACACAGTTTGGGCAGGAACACCACACTCTCCGCCGGAGTCACGGTTTCCGTAGAATGAACCAGTGCCAGGCCAATCCCTCTCATGGTTACCACTGCAGAAAACAAAACTCGTTCTTGTAAAGGGTGTACATACAAGAATATACACATGGGAAGAACATAACAAGTACTGAAATGAGACACCCAACTGACCTGCCAATCATGTATGGCACCATTGAAGCAATTGGTTCGATCTGTGCAGTGAACTGATCCCACTGAGACAAGTAGCCATTCGCGTAGCAAATGTCCCCAATGTGGACCACCATGTCGATGTTTTCAAGATCCCTGATGATCTGGTAAGTAGTGTTCAGCGAACCTGGCTGGAAGTCGTTGAACTCGTTCGAACCATCAGCCTCTGCCTGTCAAGAGTTTATCCAAAGATTCAGTACAGTTGCGAATGAAAATACCAATTTGTTTTAATTTGACTGAAACTAGGATACACATGGAAGAAAACAGGTACCTTTCCCATGTCTCCAAATATGACAACTCGTTGCAAAGAATCTTGCCCAGGGTAAGGCGATGCTTTGAAGCTGTATGACTTGCTCCAGATTCGGGTCCCATTCATCAGCCTATGGCCAAGCCTGTAAGTATACCTGAAATTTTGCAAATTAACATGTTGCTTCTGAGCTGATGAATCTGTCACAGTTCCAGAACATGTTAAAAACAGGGAAACTTTTGAATTGATAATGCAAGACAGAACCCATACGGTGAGTCTGGCCACAGATCCTTCAGGTAGCTAGTATGAATGTAACCAGGATGGCGCCAGCCAACAGTTCGTGCCGGTGAGCCTGAGTTTGCAGCAGGTTAGGATTAAAAGGCTGATACATCACATGTAAAACAGTGAACTTTCAAAAGTTTTTTTGTTCATCCCTAAGCCTAAAGAGATTAGCAGAATAATCGCTTATCACACATGCTATTTCTGTCAAATGTTAATGTCCCAGCTGGAGCAAGAAGCCGGCGACCTCCTTCCTCACCCCACTCAACAAAAGGAACTGCTTCTGTAATATCGTAGCCACTTGTCCAGGTGACTGTCATCTGTGAAAAACAACAATAATACAATCGCGTTCTTAGATTGGTAACTACAGGTCGTCTACAGTTAAGTTATTTCCACAATGCATCTTCTCCTTTGTTGATTCAAAGTTGAGTTCAGAGCAGAATACAAAATTAATATCTTGTAAAAAACATACACGTTACATGATGGTTTTGTCTAATCTATATAACTGAAACGATTATCGCAATTGTCGAATGACAAGAAAGCTTACTTCATTCCAAGACTTCCCTTGTGCTAAACGTGGGTACACTGGTGCCTTTGGGTTCGCAAATGCTACTTTGTTGGAGACAGCAATCAGCTTGGGCTGTTACAGGAGTGTTTTGTTTTTGTTCGTCAGATGGAGAACATGTTCGAACGTATCTTCAGAAATTCAGAATTATACTGTCTTTTTTCAGAGTTACCTTCGAGAGACCGCCTGAGAAAAGAGCGAATGAGAAATCTTCCCTCTGGTTGATCAACTGAAGCTTCAGATAGCCCCTTCCAGTTTTGTTATAGCCGTCATTTTTTGAAGTTTGCAAACTGGTACTGTGACGAAGATATGGGGAGAAAAAAACCAGTCAGGGTTGAAAACTGTACGCATTCAGAAGAACTGAAACAAACTGGACATCACATGCTATTGTACTTTACACAAAGTCAAGTTATACGGAACAGGGTACATGCTGACCTTGATAGGCGCAGTGCACAGCACGGGGGGAACCGTATTCTCACACTCACAGATCGCATCACTGACAGTGCCCAAACAGGAACATAAAATCAATATGGTTTTGCAAATTTAGCATCGTGAGAAAATACCCCCGAGTCCCCGTTCGATTGGGTTTGTGCCACTCAGTTCGCCCATGGTTGGTACCTGAAATTCGCAGGAGAAAAGACGCCGATCCAATCGTCGCCGGATGGGTTCGGGTGGAAGAACTCTACATCCACCCATTCACTGTTCTCGCCCTGCAGTGAACCACAAATCGACTCACTTCACTTTCCAACAAGACTACAAGAGTGGTGGTGAGAAGTGAGAAGTGAGAAGTGAGAAGTGAGAAGTGAGAAGTGAACTGGAGCTGAGCTTGTTCGTTTCGGCTTATACGTGTAACAGTATTTTTCTCTCGCACCAAACCAGTCAGCAGTGCTTCCACGATCATTTCAGCCGAAACGAACAGGCTGCCCAAGAACCAAAGGGGACGCGTTGACGGCGAGGACCACCCTCTCGACGGCGATCCTTGACAGCGGCTGCTCCCCGGCGGCGCCTCTGCCAGGGTGCGCCGCCAGGGCGCTGACAGCCAACCATGTGGCGGCCGCCCACACCCACAGCAGCAGCAGCCTCCTCGTGACGCCCTGACGATACGAATTCCCAGCTTGTGCTGTGCGGTCCTGGACTGGCAGCAACTAGGCAACGACGACCGGACGACGAACAGTACTGGATTGGCGGAAGGGATGACCCATGGCAATCCAGTGTCGTGTTCGTTGGGGCGCGCCTATCAAGCACGCCCGTCGCCATTGACTCTGTCAGTCAGTGTCAGTGTGAGCTTGTGTCCATGACCTGCAAGTGTGCCGTATGGAAACAGACGAAGCTGCCATGCGTACACATAAGGTTCGTAGGATCCGGACCTGAGAGAATGAGATAATGGCACTATTATATATCATGTGGGAGTATCTGATGCCCCGAGGTTCTAAATAAACTGGATTATACTCCTATTGGACGACATAAGCATCACATAGCTTCTTTCTTTCCGAGGGTGCGGTGAACCGAACCCCCCTACATACAATTGGCAGAAGCAACTTCATTGGTGTGCAGGTGCGATTAACCGAATCCCTCTAGTAGAATTAGAATTGGCCTAAAGAAAGTCGGGCACCTTGGCTACGCATATGGCTCTGGTGTCTGGTGTGCATTATGCATGGACTGAGAGCCTGAGCCGGACCGTCCTTTGTTTGGGTACTGCACCGCCCTGTGCAGCTGTGCTGCCACGATAAGCAAGTGCAGGTAAGCAACGCTTCAGAATTGAATTGAGCTTGTCTATGAATTTCTACACCCAAATCTTTTTAAGATAAGGTAATAAAGAGCTTCGTAAATCTTTTTTTTTTTTGACGTAAGTGGCAGAGAAAAGAACTTCTACAATACCGATACAAGATGTGGCCTCGAATAATAGCCCCAACACTCAAGGCACTCTAGGAGCACCCTATTGGCACCACCACACCATGTGTCAACACAAACATGAAAACTAGAAATTAATTAGGATACAAATCCAAAAGCCTCATGTGGTGGTCAATGTCATCCTTCACCCTCTCCGCCGTTTGAAAGTTGTTTTTGAATATATGTTGGTTTCGCTCTTTCTAAATGTTCCACACGATATAAATGATCGTCGTACCCTTGAACTTTTGCCGCTGATCTTTTGGGAATCCTCTCGTTGTTTCCTCCCACCAAGAAATGATGGTTATGCATTCACTTGATTTGGAGGGTAGCACAACATTGCAATGTTCCCAGGTTGCAACTTAGCCAAACCGCTTGGGCAGAGGGGTAGAGTAGGCACAGGTGGCGACCTATCTCTGGCGGTCCATTCCTGACGGGGCCAACCTCGCAAATTTAAATTATCTGCAGTGAGGATCTTGTCTTGGATTAGTATCAAGCGAAAAGTTTGCTCTTATTTTCTGTATGTGCCTTCCAGATTAGATTGCTATTATATTTGATGTAGGATCCTTCGAATTGTATGTGATATGTCGAGCGTGTGGATTATTAACCATCCGCGGTCCACCTCCAGGTGACTGTGTCTTGCATTTGAGATTGTAAGCTCACATCTTGTTAGGGCTAGACATCGAGCCAGCTCGGCTTAGCTCGATCCAGCTTGAGCTGGCTCGTGAGGCTAACGAGCTAGCTCGTTAATATTACGAGCTAAGGGGCAGCTCGGCTCAGCTCGGCTCGTTACCGAGCTCGAGCTGGCTTGTTTAGCTCGCGAGCTACTTAAAAAAAATAGGACACACATGTTTATAATGTTTATACTACATTAATTTCAAAAGGTGACGTCCACCATTATGCAACCATACATGATTAATACATATTATGTTCATCAAAAGTATTAACCATGCAACATAGCTGATCCATCTATGATGCAGTTTCAGCATACTAACTAGTTATTTGCCACCACAAACTTAGAAAAGTCCACAGATTCAATGTCAACATCATTATCTTCTTCCTCGAAAACAATCCATAAAATCAACATTTAAGTACCACAACAATTATAAAATTAAAATTTATATGAAACAGTTGAAAATAATGATTACATATCAATAGAATATGTGTACACTTCTAAGTCAGCATCATCATCTTCTGGATTCATGGTCGTTGGCTGATGGGCCTCAGCTCGTGAGCAGCTCGCGAGCTGGCTCGTTAAAATAACGAGCTAGACTTCTAGCTCAACTCGTGAAAATGTTAAAACGAGCCGAGTCGAGCCGAGTCAAGCCGAGCTGAGCCAGCCACAAGTCGAGCGAGTTGGCGAGCCGCGAGTATTTTGTCCAGCCCTACATCTTGTAAACGGATCCATAAAGCAACAAATCTTGGAGTTGGACCGTGGTAGTTATCTTGATGCGGAGAGCATTAATCCAACCATCGACGGTTTTGTTTTTTCTCTTGACAAGCAGCCTGTTCGTTTGGCTGTGGCTTGTCGTTAACGATCGTAAATTTTTAGTCGGAAGAATATTTTTTTCTCACACAAACCAGCCAGCAGTACTTCTTCACGAACCAGCAACGAAACAAACCAGCCAACCAAACAGGCTGAAGCTCGAAAATGTGTGGCGCGAGGTTCCTAGGCTCTTCCCCGTCAAGCTAATTATGATGCCAGAAGAGTGCTTTCCTCCCATTGCCAAAAGAGCTTCGTAAATCTACCAGACGTTTGGGTGCATGCGCCACTCTCACCTGCCGTTGTAGATTCGTAATTCGTCCCTGTTGGTGGCAGTCAATGTTTTTTCTTTATCAAAACTCTTCCTAAATATAATGATTATCTTTGGTGGATGTCCGATCATAGAATAAATAGCAGCACCAAGAGCAAACCTGCACATGGTACATAAATTAATATAAATAGCTATTTTTTTAGTCAACTAATAATAATAGACGAAAATAGAACAATCATGAATACAAGGCCATTTCTATAAAAGCACCCCATGGTTTTGCCTTGCGATAAGTGTTCTATCACTTAAAGCTGCTAATATATCTTTTCTTTTCAAATAGTTAATTTTAGTTAGTGCAATATTTTATCATACCATTTGTCATTTCATAATGATATCATAATTGTTGTTGACGAGTCTAAGAATAAATGTTACAAAACTATCACTTCTACTCTCTCCGTTCTGTAATATAGTATATTCTAACATTTAAAATTTGTCCTCAAATATAATACATTCTAGAGGACAAAAACTAGTTTTGCATTAAATACTTTCTATTTATTAACCCATCACCATTAATCATGTTGATGACAACACCTTATTAAGAAATAAAATAAAGATACATACGTCTTTTATGTTCACCTTTAATTTATCTTAAAATTGCTAGATTACATTTTATTACAGGATAGAGGAAGCAGTGCTTTTTTTCATAAAACTTGCCACTACTTTTATGTCCCTTTGTCACAAACCTACCACCTTTTTTTTTGTCTCCACTTACATACTCTTCCAAGTTGCAGGGGCGAATGACTTAGGTGCTTAGGCAAAACGTGGTAGATTTGCAAGACTTATTTATTCGTAGTGTATGAAATATGCACTAGATGTGGTAGAACCTTCTAATCAAATGTTTCTCAGGAGTACTCGTCTTCTATTAGACACTAAGTACTCGAGGGAGAACACTAAAACACACAGTTCCGTCGGGCACACCCCAGGTGAAAATCCGAAAATCCATATTTTTTCATCAGGATGACAAATGAGAGAACGAAGCTTACAACATTTTAGCCATTTCTTACATCACTTTTCATGTAACATCATAGTATAATATTTATTATTTATAATATCGGAATCTGAGCATGTTTTTAGAGTTATGAGCAATTTAAGTTAACAGCGGAATATAAACATGTGATTAGAACTACAACGGAAATAAATATCTACTCATGACATGATGAAACATTGTTATATAAATTATAACAACAGGTTATAAAATTTCTATTTATAAAAATATTTAGTGAGAGTTATAAATAAAAAACTAAAATCGCAGCGTAAAAGAATTCTCTCTGAGCCCACCAGGAGGAATCCGCACACAAAGGTCAGCTCTAGCTTCCACCTGTCACCTGCAGCAGGGGAAAATAAAACCCTCAGTACATAATTATACTCAGCAAGACTTACCAGATAGGAGAAAAGAAAAGACTCCAAGGATATGCAAGGATATCTGACTTATGGGTTTATTGCATTTGTACGAAGCATTACCAAGCGTGCGTCCTTATATTCGATTTTATTAGCAACCATCATTAGTTCATTAACTAACCATTCTATTTAAGCACCTGTGCTACTTTTAAGCAGGTGGTAAGCAATCAGATTTTCTTTTATCATCTTTCATCTTCCCGTTCTTACTACGGTGCTAAAGTTTAGACAAGCCGTACCACATTGTCCGACGATTCATGAATCAATGTTCCTAGTTGGGTACCCAAAAAACATACGCCTTGCTTGTACCCCAGGCACAAGCAGGATCAACCCACTACCCTCCTGTCATGGGATTCAGGTCCCCGTCCAAACTAGGACTCTAAGCCCCCGCCTCTGAGTCTCGGACTCAGTGCGGAGCAAGGACCTCCACCTAAAAACCACCCTGACAGTCGGTCCAGAAAGAGTCAGAACCCACGACAAGAGAGTAACAAGTCTTTCCTACGCCCATACCCAAGTATGTGCTCGGGATAATAAGTCCGTGACTTGCCTAGCGTCCAATGCAACGGCCGGTCCTTAACCGATACAGACAGGGAAAACGGTGTAACCAAGCTATGCCCCGTTGGCCCCAGGACACAACCTCTTACACCCACCAATACCCAAACCATATCCCTGCCCGGTCTCTATTTATCATTTCCACCATTTATATATTCCAAAAGATAATAATACAGTAATATATTTCCTACCTCTTGCGAGTGACAGGCAATCACTTGACTTCTATCGAAATCCTATAGCATAGCAATCTATACGATCCTGTTATACTAGTAAGACTCAAAGGATAAAGATATATATATGCAAATGGGTTTTATTCAACTCCTAAAAACTTAATGCACAAATATAATTTAAAGTACAGAAAAGTAGGGTTATGCACCGGGACTTACCTGGGTAAAATATATACTAAAAAGTTAGTATCTGCATCTTCAGATCATCCACCATCAACTGAATATAAAGCCCATTGCATCATCTCCTAGAGAGAATACCATTACACCATCTTTAGATTCTCAATCATCCTTCAATTGATCCGTTGATCCATCATCGTACCTATATGATATGCAATGCGATGCAATGCAAAGATGTAATTAATTGACTGCAACCGTGACTCGTAAA